AAGGGAAAAAGAAGCATATTTCTTTTACCACTTGGTGCTTTTAAAAAACTTTCAAACTTGCCTGTTATTTTTGTAATTAATTTTTAAAGTTGCCATGGTAAAAAATAGTTATATTCTAATAGTTTACAATTTCCAGTTACTAGTGAAGACAACAGTTTATCATACAAGTTTACTTTAGATAAAAAAAGATTGTTCAGAAATATAGTAGAACCAAGAAGTAATTTACTTCTGACATAAACAGTATCACAAAGAATCATTTATTTGTATATTTTTTCTAATGTTAATACTTACCTGAATAAAAACTGTAAATAGAATAATAAAAAGTGTAGTCGTCACAAACATACGCTTGTTAGGGATAGTGTGTGTATCCAACATGATCACCAGGGAAAATGCTACAGCTCCACGCAGTCCACCATAAGCCTGATACATAATGAAATTTTGTTTATTGTGAACAAATAAAAATAAGTAAATTCGGAGGAAAACTGTGTAAAAAGTATCATCCAAAAACTATTACTACCTTGTGTAAATACTCATGAAACTATAAGTAACTAACTGAGTTGTATCTATTTTTATTTACAAATAAAAATATCACATTTAATAGGTTCACTTATAATGTGGACCATCTGAAAAGTAAAGTTGATGTAATAGGAAGTTTTATCTTTGATAAGCAAACAAAGTCATTGCACAAACATTAAGTTCAAAGATCCATTAATAACATCCTTATTGTAAATGTTGTGAAAACACAATAAAAGGATTATTTTGTCTTTGTAAAAAAAAAAAAAAAGTCTAATGTAAAGCATAAAATTAAACGCTATCAATTAACAACAAAACCAAATTTTTCTCTAAGTCAGTCTCTCGAAGCTCGTTGTACAGAAGAAACTGTAAGAATACATCAAAAATCCACTACAAGATCTTAATTCTCAAAGGTAAGGTTTCAACCATCACTGTATTTATGTTAAGCCTTTAAAGTGATCAACACTTCAATATGAAAATAGAAATGGTTGTTTCAAACCTATGTAAGCCCTGAACCGCAAGGTGAAATATAAAAATATTAAGGTCGTATGTATGAGCTAGTATTAGCACGTTTTTCACAATAAAGTTCTCAGTATTGAATTTACTACTTCCCCACTAAATCTCTGATATATGTGTTGTGTGTATTAAAACTCAAGTTGAAAGTTTTATGTGAACTGGAAATTCATATTCGATGTTGCTCTACTATGGAACCACGGTATCTCATACTTACAAGTTATTATCTTGTCGTATGACATAGTATCTCATACGCACGACTTATTATCTCATATGTACGAGACAAGACCATAATATTTTTATTTTTCACTTTGCAGTTCAGGGCTTCCAACAAACCAAATGTTTAACCTTAGTTTTGATAACAATAACAAAAAGTTGGATAAGGTTCATCATCATTACTGATGTAATGTAATTGTTATTTCAACACGATTAGCTGAGAACTTTTTTTACCATTATAAACTGCTCTGTCATTTTGATGGTACGAAGTCTTTCAAAATAGTTGGCAAGAAATGTTAGGAAATAAACACCTGTGAAAATAAGTGATGAAAAAAACTGATATTGAATAAAAAGCATAAATGAACAATGAATGAAAAAGTCACTATCTCGATTCAATTGTTACTTAAAATCTTAGATATTAATGCACGGTTTTTCGGTAAATATCAAATACAAATTTCATATAAAATGTACTCCAAATTGGTTTGTTTAAAAAAATTTCACTTTAGTTTCAACAGGATAAATGAATGATAAACATAAGAAAATATGCTAACTGATATCACAGCAGACACAAACAAGATAAACTTTAATTCATCCTATGATATTCATATTTTCTAAAAGCTTCAATTTTAGTTTTTAAAAGTTTTCATAAAATAAGGTCAAAATAGTATAGTTTTGATCTGTAATAAAAACTGTTTATTTCAAATTCTGTTTAACCTGAAAATAAACAAGTGATCTCAAGTTTGTGTGATCTTTCCTACTTTATATGCAAATCAAGCAATAAATTAAGACTAAACGTACTTTCTAGATAAACAATGAATAAAACACTTACTACAGAATCTGGCAATTAAACACATAGCTGTTGCCCAAAAGACAAATCCTGTCTGCCAGATGTGGTCATCATTAACCAAAACCATCCCCAGAAAAAGAAAGATTATTGTATCACAGACAGCACTGTATGGGGGGAAAAAAATCTGTCACTTTAATTATTTAAATGTAAAACAGGCTACTGGATTTTAGAAATGTTTTATTTTATGGTTGTAAACACATCTAGTGATGGGAACCTGTTGAATATATATATTTTTGTTGTTGTTTTATGATATTGCTTTACTGTGCAATTAGAAAAAATAGCAGTTTTAAAAAGTACAATTTATTTTTAACACTAGAACCTGATATGCTTCCTTTGATGAGCATAAATAAATGCTAATTACATGGCTCTAATTATGATATATGCTATATAGGGCATAAACTGTTAAAACTTTTATTGTTTAATTACTTTTACTCATCCAATTCAAACTAATAAAGTAAACAAGTTACAAAAAAGTATACAATATATCACTTGTTTCATTATATAGACACACTTACCACAATGGTTTGACCTTAAAATTGACCCTGACCTTTAATCTATAACCTTTTTAATTGGTAGAATGCATCTGATTAAAATCAAACATACGTGGGAAAGAATAGGTGACTCGATCCTTGTCAATTAAACATTAATCTTTGAAGCTGTGATGATAATCATGAAGATCTATCATCATGTATAGTATCAGCGTCCTAACATACATAATTAAGAGTCTACTGTGTTCACAGACAGACATTACTGAATGTTTTACTGAACTCAAACATTCTAGGCACCAATATATATATTCTAGGCACCAATGATGATAAGTTCTACTGGTAAGGATAGGTATACACAAATGAAATGTAAGTTTTAAATTTTTTTTCAACTTACCTTAGCATCTTAATAAAATATTTAACAGTAATGTAAGATTTTCTAGAAATGTTGAACTGAGCATACTGGGCTTGAACAAGACCACAGGCTATTATACTGAAACAGACAGAAAATGTAATCTATAACTGATGTGAATCACATGAATATTCCCTAAGAAAAATAACAACAAAAAAACAGTAATACGTGAAATAACACAAAATTGATATAGTGTCCTTTAATAATAATAATAATACTATGTTGGTCTCTGATCATATGTTTAATTGTGAATGTAATTATTCAATGTATCTTTAAACTCTTATTAAACCTTTCCCCCCATTTAAAGATAACATAATTATTAAAGAAAAATATTTTTTTTTTTAGATTAACAGTAACATAACTCATGACTTACCTGATAATTCCAGAAAAGTGAACCATCTCAGCTAACAAGTACGACAAATAAGCTATTCCCAACAATGCCAAAGGCTCAACAACTGGGAAAAAAATAAACATAAAAAAAGAACTATATTACAAAACACCATGATGTAATTCATCTATAAGTTTAGAAACATTTTGGGTCTGTACTGCACCAGAAAAAAAATAGCTGAACAATAAACGAAGCAATGACTAATAAAGTACGAAAATCATATCCTGGCATATTGTTTAAGACTATAATGAAAATACAATTGCAGTGCATTGGGTTTTTTTTCAACAAAACCCAAAAAAACTAAGAAATGTTTAAAACTGACTTCAGGAACAAACCCTCTATTATATAATGTTATTTTAGAGTGGGATTTTGAAGAAAAATATTCAAAGTAGAAAAAATTAACATATTATTTATGCATTTATCACTGATTAAGAAACTGTCAATAATAACATAAAATTCTAAATAATTCCAACAATATTAAATTAATTTTCCTACTAAGTAGGGCCAAAGCAATTACCAATGTAATTGGAAAATTATCCAATATTTTTTTTTTATGTTTTCTTTGCATGAACATATTTAAGTTCATTACCTCATGCTAGTTTGATATAAATTTGCTTTATACACAAGAAAAAAATTGCACAACAGTTGATGCTTTTGTAGCATTCAAATCTCACATCTATTTGCTGTAAACATTTTCTAACACATCAATAACCCATAATAAAGTTTACATTTAATTCCATCCCCATAAATTGTAAAAGATAGAAGGATACTTGCTCCTTTCCAAATTCTTTATTTGATGATCGTAGGCTTCCAACAATAAGTCTTACGTCTTACATGCTGTGTTTGTTTATTAACCAAAGCTATGATGACTCCCATCACTATTCCGATTAGTAAACCTCCAAGACTAACACACAAGAATGATGCTTCCAACAAGAAATCTTACCTCTTACATGCTGTTTTTGTTTAGTAACCAAAGCTGTGATGACTCCCATCACTATTCCGATTAGTAAACCTCCAAGACTAACACACAAGAATGATGCTTCCAACAAGAAATCTTACCTCTTACATGCTGTGTTTGTTTAGTAACCAAAGCTGTGATGACTCCCATCACTATTCCGATTAGTAAACCTCCTAGACTGACACACAAGAATGATGCTACACCTAAGGCTATCTGAAAGGCATCAAAACAAATATAAAGACACTAGAATACATATAAACAAAAGAAAAAATACACAATACCACTCATATTCAATTTCCAATACCATGAGATTTCTTCTAATTTCATCAAATGACCATCTGTATCATATTTTGTCAAATACATGGTGGAATTCAATTCATTAACAAAGTATTAAACCTAAGCCTAAAACTAAATACAGAATGGAATAACTGTTTAATATTAAACCATGAAACCAACCAGCTTATCAACATTTCCCTATGAGCATTTTACCCTAATTTATTACTATTACCTTACAAGTATATTAACCTAATTTATGAGCATTTCCCTATGAGTTTTAGTCTCTATCACTCTACCAGGGGGTTATTTGACTCAATTTATCCTTTTGTATATCTAAGGGCTTTCTATTACAGTTTTCATTAAGAAAAAAAATGACAATTAACTTTGTTTATACATAAATTTCTATCTAAATGTTTAAGGTATATAATCCCCTACCATACCTGTTCTGCTGTTATGTATGGAGTGGAGGATAGTCCTACCATCATTGTATATAACACAACAGTTACAGCATCTGAGAAACAACAACAAAAAATTAATCATTCATTATGAATTATAGCAGTTCTTTAGAGACAAAATCTACTATAAAAATGGCATGTCTTTCATATAGATGAACCCATACCTGCCAACTTCAGAAAACTTCCATGGGGTATTGGTATGCAGAGTTTCTTAAGTGTACTCAGTGGAATGTGAGTGATGTAAAAAACAAACAACACAAGGCAGATAAATCAACTGATTTATGACACAGCTAAATACACTTCAAAACTACTACTACAGTTATTTCAAATACTTACAGGGAGTCAGCCAAATGCTCATAAAAAAAGGATAGAAAAAGCATTATAAGAACATTTTGGTATTAACATTGCTGATGGATCAGTAAGTTGTACTTTTATTAGCTTGTTTTGATCAGTAAATAACACTTATTTTTTTATATTGGAGGAACATTTTATAAATTTATGTCATAATAATAAATTGGTTACAAAAATGAATTAACAGGTAGAGAACAAAGAAACATTTTGGCTTTTAATTTTAATTAATTAGTGTTAAATAATTCTGACAGTGTTTAACCTTTTCTAGGATACACATATTACCATCTGACATCAACAGTAAGAGAAGTCAAGAAAAGTTATTACATGAAGGTGAAACAACGATGTCAAATTCATAGAGAGAAAAATAGTGTCCAAACGCTGTAAGAAAGATTCATGCATATTTCTAAAAATGTAGAAAACAAAAGTTTCATTACTTGATGTCCTTGCACGTGTTCATGAATACATTTTAAACAGACTTAAACTTCAAGTTACCAACAGCAAAGAAACTAGATGTTAACAATGTCAACTGAAATGATGTAAAGGTGATTTTTCTGCATTTCATATTTTTATTTATTGATTTGTTAAAAATCAAGTTGCAAGGTATCACAGATATTTTCAATAAATGTATTTCTTGGTAAGCATTAAAGTGTTCCTAAATCAGTATTTTTTATTTGTCCCTAACTAATTATTATTCTAATAGAGTAATGCAATCTAATAGATTAGTCTTTACAATATCTTAATAATTTACTATTGTTATAGATTTGACTTTTGGTGTAAGTAAAATTCAATAGGAGAGTAGCATGCATTTTCCTTAACCAGCCCTATCTGTGCACTGTATTCATACTTTTGTTCTTTTTCAAGCTTATGAATTGTTAAGGACAAGTAATACAGTAGAGGATGCATTATGGGTAAGAAGTAATGTAAGTAACTTAGATAAAATAATTTGTAAAACATTAATGGCAAACATCCTATTAATATTAGTGATTCAATAAGTTTAACACCCACCACACGAGCCAGCCTGGCATCTTGATATGGATAAAATAAAACAAGTCATTCCGGAAAGGCTTGGATTGTTTTGATTAAAGAAAAAGAAGAAATTTGGCAATATCTTTGAGGTATACGTCACTGGACTAGATCTGTGACTGGACATGCAACCTGACCCGAGACCATAAGAGCCAATAGGGAGAAGTAAACTTGGAAAGTAAAACAATGTAGCAATGAAACATGCTTGAAATGTTCTAGATTTGGTTGTGAATGTGATGGTTTAAATGTAGTAATTAAGCTAAACTGTGGGTCCAGGTCAGATGAAGAAAGAACTTATTTGAAGATATCCTTATCAATTTGACGTACCAGCTAAACTGAAGATTCGTCAATTAGTTACTATACTGACAGCAAAATATAAAAAAATGGGCACAATAGTATCATTATCTTCAAAAAGGGGGATTGGAATTATATACAAGAAATCATTAGTTTTAATATTCTGTGAAAATAATGACACAGAAAGCCCAAAGATGCAGTGTTGAAGTTGTCGCAGATGTTACAAGGTGATTTCTCTAGCAATTCTCAAATTAAAAATGCCATTTTTGCAATGAAGAGTAAATATAAGGAAGATAGTATGATGCCCAGTCTGGTACCACCATTGTATAATCCATACATATATCATCATATCGTATTTTCATTAGTATTTAGTTGTTTTTTTCATTTCAAAAGTTATGCCAGCTTCATTCATAAATATCTATCGAAATAATTCTAAATCAATGGTTTCCAGAATGACCTCCCTATTGACCATCCTCGTCTCAATACTAAAAAATACTGGGCTGGCTTGTGTTCAAGTAATCTATATAATATTATTTTTTTGTTTGTTTGTTATGAATTTCACACAAAGCTACACAAGGGTTATCTGCTCTAGTCGTCCCTAATTTAGCAGTGTAAGACTAGAGGGAAGGCAAGTAGTCATCACTACCCACCGCCAACTCTTGGGCTACTCTTTTACCAATGAATAGTGGGATTGACCATTACATTATGACACCCCCATGGCTG